ACACACACACACACACATGTGTGATGTGTTTTGGTATGTTATCTTTTTCCTAGCTCAGCAATTGAAATCATGTGTGTTTACACTGGATTTAAGTCAGAGCATAAATTGTTCATGAGTGTAAACTGGGCCTACGGTATGAACTTTTAATAGATCCACTTCATGAAATGGTTTACTAAAGGTATTAATTCAAGTTACCATGACACTATCAAAAGTTGCAGATTCAGGTTTCATATCCATACTCTCTCCACTTCTGAAGCTTTTCACAGATTCATCGTCAGTGTAGATGTCATCAGTGCCAGGTGGATGAACACTGGAGTTCTTCAAAGACTCAATCCCTTCAAGACTGTTATTCTGTGAAAATGCTGATTGTTGGGATATTGTTGGTGAATTGAGTCGCACATGTTTTTGTCTTTTTAGTTTCTCACTGAACATGGATTCCTGTTGCATACTCCATTCCTCAATGTACTCATTTCGCTCCTTTGAAGCTAACAAAATTCAATTGAAATGCATTAGTTAAACACATACACTGTACAATACATAATCTGACATACTGGTCTGCTACGTACAAAATGGATGAAACAGTGCAGTGTCTTTACAACCATATAATAACATACAAATATTAAGTATTATGATATAATCATCTTTAAAAAAGTCAATTTCTGTCAGTACGGTAGCCCTCTGATAATAAAGAGTGTTCATCCAGGGATCCTACGACACAGTAAATTTACAAAACTAAAGCTAAATCTACTGAATTGGAAAGAAAAATAAATTTTGAACAATTAGCATTAAATCAATAAGACTATTAAGTAACTATAAAGATACAGTAATAATACAACAATAATGATGATGCTACATGTAGGTGCACTCCATTTTTAGATGCGACTTGAGGAAAATTTTAGAAATTTATTATAGTTTATTGATCTTTAATTTCCACCAGTAGAGATTTTTCTCCATACCTGTACCAGCGTCAAATAATTTTTTTTTTTTTTATTGCCCTCACATCCAACAGCAAGTACACTCGCCACTTACAGGATGGAATGATGCTTTATAAACTAAGACTCTTTATGAAGCTTAGAGAGTGGAGTTGTTTTTAGTCGTGAGAAAAAATTAGACTGTGACAGGAACTGAACCCAGGATCCTGGGCTCAGGAGGAAAGCATCTTAACCACTGAGCTATTCAACTACACTCCTCTAATAAACAACACAAACCTTTTTTCAGTTTCTCAGCTACATCATTTCTGCCGCTGCTTATCAATGCCATCACAAGCACAACAAGAGGATTGGTACCAGACAACAGACACTTCAGCCAACTGTCCAAGACACCATAGATGCGTTCACCCAATGGAAATCTCTCAATTTCGTTGAGTTTTTCAGGTTTGATTTTCAAATTTGATCCAAGTGTTTTCCATTCATCTTTCCCTTGGCATTCGAGGCTGACAATATCGAAGAACCATGGTAGATCACAAGTTGAGGGCAGAGTACTGTGTTCAGAAACATCTAGATTTGGTATAAAAAGGACATTTAAAAACAATAATCAATAGTAAGCTCTTATATACCACTACATTGAGACTGCTGCTCTTATTAATAGCCCTGGTTATGGAATACAAGTACAATATTGACAACTATGCACAATATGCAACCTCATAGTAACCTCCACACTCCATGGAGAAAATTTTCAAGGCTTACTTTTTCTTTGCCCTCTTCTCCCCCTCTTTGTTTTCTTAGTGTCTGTTTAACTTATTATTCTACTTATTATTTTATTCCATCCATGTCAAAATTGCAATCTGTCCATAATTTGATACTATATATATATACTTTTTATGTTGTTATAAATATTGTCATTGTCTTCCAGAGTTCTTGTTTAAGTAATTATGTAACTTTTGTGTATCAACTCAAAGAAACAAATTTCATATATATGTATTTTATAAGACAATGAATAAATGAATCTTGAATCATAGTTCTTTTACAGTAACTTATAATAGGTCTATTAATAATAATTATTATTATTATAATTATTATTATCATCATGATTATATTATTATTATCAATTTATTATTAGTCAAACATCTAATAAATTTTTGAAATTCAGTCAGTAGTAACACATACCTTTTTGAAGCTTTTCTGCTAGATCTCTGCGGCCGGTTCTTTCAAGGGCTGATGAGAGTTGATCTCGCAAATCTGCAGTCTGAACGCGCTTCTGTCTCCACATCTTCAGTATCTGATAGATTTGTTGTTTTGGTGAAGAGTACTGTTCCCGAACAGCATCTACCTCACCAGTCTGGATATCAAGACGAAATGCAAGACTTCTCCAATTATTGCCAAGCTCTCCGGCCAGATCAAGTAGTTCATTATCTGAAATCTGGGATTCTGTAATACACAAGCAAAAAGTATAGATTTGGAAAAAGGAGGTGGATGACTTACTTGGTATCATGCACAAAATCAATAAGTAACGCAGACGTGGCTAGCAACCTTCAATTAACAAATATTAGAATGAATTTGGCACAAACAATCTAATGCTGTGGGGTCAGCCTACAGAAGCTCCATAAAAAGTAGGTTTGGATTACCTTGTAAGCCAACCGCCATAAAAATTTGGCTATCTATTGCAAGGACTTTATCGACATTGTAGCAATTTCATGGAAAGTACCATTACTCAAGGACTTGCTGCGATAAATGGATCCATATAATTGAGCTTTGAAGTAAGAAGCAAAGTTATCTTACGTGGTTCTGCTGCACCAGAGGGAGAATGAGAGCCATCTATGCTTTTTGTACCTGAAGATGACGATGATGTAGAAGAAAGCTGGTGCGTTAGAATCCGGATGGTGTCTTTAAGTTTCTCCTTTTCACGGTTAGACTCAGCAAATGCCTTGGCTAGATGTACAAAAGTAAAATTGTACATTAATTTGTATGTGTTTGATATATATTTAACTAACTTTTTTGTATCTTCATATACTTTTAATTTCTTACTCATATGTAACAAGGAAAACAATTCTCATGACATCATTATGACAATAAAGGATAATCTGAATCTGATAATTTAAGCAAGGCTCGAGTTCAAAGAAACATAATAGATTATAATTGGTTTTTTTTCTGGTGCAACGTAAAATAATCAGTTAAAATGGCACTCTCATACTTTAAAAATTCTTAATTTGATAAGTTCAATTTTACTTAAAACACATACCTGCCTATGATGGTTACATCATGCCTATGATGATTACCGTATATCTTGCCTAAAATACATCATGCCTACAATGGTTACATTGTGTCTATGATGGTTAAATTATGCCTACAATGGCTTTAGTACATCATAGAGAACACCATGCTTTTTACAGTTGGTACAACTGTCATGATATATCCATCACACTACGCAAGATGCGCCTATTGTAGCATGCCTATCACTGTACTTCATGTATGGGTAGCTATTTTCTACACAGGATGCACTGTACAGTTTAAGAAATAATTTCTTACAGATGCTGTGAACGCCTTCACTGGTTTTCTTGAGTTTCTCATTCTCTTCCTGCAATTTCTTGTTTTTTTCAAGTAGTTTGTGTAAGTCATCTTTATTCATAATTCTGGGAAAAAATATAAAAATTATTAATAATAGGTTTCTTACTTTGAAGTTTCAACTGACTCTTCCAATAGACACTATATTTTTTTTTTAATATTGTAATATTTGTCATTTTTCTATTTGTACATTTAAAATTTAAATTCACTCTGTGCAGTGGTTCTTTTGAATTAAAGTTTTTAAACAAAAGATACCAAAAATAACAATGCAAACTGACTGCCAAGCCAGATTATGATCTTTTACTGGCTATACTAAAGAAATGTTCATCAAATCAAATTAAATCTTTCTTTATTCTGGAAATACTTAGGTATTGAAAGAGTATTTCTCTTATACTCTTTCAATACCTAAGTACTGATCTCCCAAGAGGTCCAGATTCAACAGTAACAAAGTATATACACATAAAATTTTTATATACATATAAAAGATAACTGGATAGTTAAGTATTCGTCTTAAACATATTTAAAGTACTGTAATGGTGTCAAATTTGCAGCAAATATATAAGGGGAGCTAATTCCATAATTTACAAGCCCTGTAAAGGTAGGTTCTTTTTCCTTGTATATTGTTCCAGATTGGGATGATTAGTGTACATAAGAAGATGGATTTCTTATATTTTTGGAATGGACAGTATTAGTAAATTTAAAAACCGAAAGGTCCACTGATTAATCTCAGATAAGATAGCATCATACATACTCAAAGTATCAAATTACACGCCATCGTGTCGGGATCCAATATTATGATATAATTGATGTTGAAATATTGAATCCCGACATGATGGCGTACATTTCGATACTTGGAGTATGTATTATGCTATAGTAAATTTAAGTTTTAAGTCATCCTGTATATGATCCTGATCATTATACAGTAATATGTTTATAAAATACCATAAAAAAGATAGATTCAAGCTAATTGAAAATTTTGTAAAAAAAGAAAAATTGAACAGGGGTTACCATTCATGATGCAAGAAGCAGGAACAACATTACCTCTCAGCCAAATGCTCAGACCACATGGATTGGGGGACGTCCATGACAAAAACAAACATAAAAATCAAGATCAATATGGAAGCAGGGAAATTATTATTTTATTTTTGTGGTATGAGATGTGCATCTTAGTTATAATTCAAGAAATGGTACTTTACACACAGTCACACTTACACAAAGCAAGGAAGGTTAACACCAGTCACTGATATCCTACAGACATAGACATAACACAGACATTAATAAAAAATTAATAATTTTATTTGGAATAACACTTTTGTAACAGTGGTACACAACCATGTGGGCAGTACATCCTAAAGAAAACATAGGCATAAGAAATTAAATGAAAAAAAAAATTTACAAAAATGAATTCCTGCGAGACTCCATGTAGATACTCCCAAAAAAGACCCAATGAATAGCCGAGAACCTCCTGACACCTCTATAGTACATTCATCAAATGTGATATTAAAACATATTATTAATCAATTTTGATACAAAATAATATGTTTGTTCACACTCTGGTGAACTCTTGTCTACCAAACTCCAAATATACAGCACATACTGATTAACATTGTATCAGCTGACATTGCCATACTCAGATAACATTGTATCAGCTGACATTGCCATTACTGAGATAACAATAACATTGTATCAGTTGACATTGCCATTACTGAGAGAAATCATAAAGAGATACCAGTGTGTTAACACGTTGACTGCCAAACTTTTTTTAAGGTTTTGCCCTGTGTGCCAAAACGAGTATACAAATATAAACATACTTTCTTGAAATCTTATCAAGTCACATATCATCAAAATGGTGTGTCTAATAAATTGGCAGGAAAATATTAGGGAACGAGTAAACTCATTGCTGGCAATGGGACAGTACATTAAATAGCCTCTGCCAAGTGCAAGTTTTCTCGTCCGCTTTTTTTCATGGGTTGGATGGTATATGTTCAGAGAGCACCCCCACTCATGCAATCTTTTATACTGACGGAAACATAACGCAATAAACATACATACGTTATTTGTACAGTAAGTCTATGTGAATCTTCTATTTGCTGTTAAAGTCTGTGGTTCTACAACTTTGAATAACAATGAAATAATAAACGCTATAATGTCACCCCGGTTTTGACGAGTATATTTGTCTCTGGCGCCCTCAACAACACCCTGTGGGAGGATTATACTCATCGCTGGCAGTGAACAAATTAACACTACTGTCACTTTGAAAAGCAACTTGATGTCTTGCTCTAAGAAACAACTTTCCTCCAGTTTATAGGGCGTGATGCCAGTACCTACATTGGAAGATATTTGTACTAACTATTATTGGCAATGACACTAACTCTAAACTATGCTGGAGTACTTACATCAGAGTAAGAAAATTAGTTCCTCCACCTGTTCTTTTGTACTTGTATGAGTACCATCTAGTACCTTATTTAGTTGTTGTTTATATTTACTTATTTTGTAATTCGAAAGTTTAGTTTACTGCAGGCAGTAATAAAATGGAAAAAATTTATAAGCCTATATACAGTGTATGACATACCAAGAGATCTATTTATTGCTATTATGTAATAATCTGAAATGATGCAACACAGCTGAGATACAATCCTCTCCACGTACATGTCATTGAACCAGGACTGACTCATGTTAACCTTATGTGGCATCCTCCACAAAATCCTGATTCAATGACCAATTAATTGTACATCCTACATAGTAAACATTTCAAAAATCTCAATGACATGACCTTACTACTCCCCTAAAAAAGGGACAGAATGGTTAGTGAATTGTTAATTCTAAATGAATTTGGCTATAATTCTCCATTCTAATTATAAAATAATTTTTCTCACAACAAATTTCCTACTGTATGTAGTTGGTTAAGATTTTAAAATAAAAGTAAAAGATAAAAAAAGGACAATTTACATCTGTCTTCATTTCTATACTATTATATTAATATATATGTGAAAGAGAAATATCCGGAATCTGGAACGTTCATTATGAATCATCAACTCATTGATGATTCATAGTAGTAGTAGGATGTATGTGCAACTGCACATGGATGGGGATTCTGGCCTGTTATCATTTGCCATCAGTTGTGACTAGGCCTAGCCCTAAAAATGTCTATCAAATTTAATAATTATTATTGAAAACTACATTTTCATGAGGAAACAAGTTGATCGAAAATACTATACGGTAACTCCCTGCTAACATAAAATAAATTGGAATCTCCCTAAGCTATAAATAGATCTGTTTCCGTGAAACCCTACAACTCAAACATTATTATAATAACAAAGGCTTCGCTTGGGTGAGTTTGTCTCCTCTCGTTACTGTAGTCCGTAGCCGCCTAGATACATACAGACCAAACTTGCGGCTAAATAACACTTGGTACGCGTCAAATTGCCCTATTTTAAACAAATAGTTAATATGATTGTCTGCACTTACACTAAAAGAACACAATATTTTGAAAGTTAATGTCTACCTACCATAATTTTTCGTAATACGGCAACTTTAATAAAGCCAAATTTTAAACGCACTTTTTCTGTTAAAAACTGAATGGGGAATCCCCACCATAGCTTCTCCTTATTGTAACGTCATTTCTAGCACGCCCTCTACTGTTTAGTATTATATTGGGGGCGCTTGTTATTGATAGATAGAGTACTGGGGTTGTTCCTATCAAGGAGGTTTAAAATAAACCTCCAAATGAAATAAATCGTATTCATCAATAAGCTGTTCAATAGGCCTTTTTCACGAATCGGTAGACATCTTGAAGTGATGATAAACATTGCGAATCAGCGGTGCGTAACCAACAGAAATAAGATAAGCTTTTGGGCTGATTTTCTGACATCATGTTGTTTAAAAAATCATAACTCCATAACGGGGCGTCGTATCCAAAAAATGTTTCCAGGAAAATGTTCTTAAAAGACCAGTCTACACCACTATATGGTAAAAAAAAATTATATATAAAAAAAATTGAAAAATTTTGTTGACCTCTGAAATCAAGATTGAAAAAGGCGTATAGTCGATTCAAATATATTTTCAGAGACAATAACGTAATCCACAATGCTTTTTGTTGGTTTTGAATTCTAGTAAATGTACCTGCATTTATTGATTTTCGCTATTAATATCACTGAAGTCAAGTAAGAAGTTTGCCCATTGATATTACTACGTACTATCCCCATTATTAATTCTGTTACAACGACCATTGAAATCACCAAGAATAAGAATATGTCCATTCTCATCAAAATGAGCGTCTCAGATAAAAGGGTGGTACTGTATATAATAATTCTTCTGAAAGGGTTTTATCTAGAGAGACTCAAGACCTACCTTTTTAAAAAAAATTTAAATTTTCCATTTTTGTTGTTTTTACATTGTTGGTTTTACTTCCATCGTTTAGTTTTTCTAGGATAGGCTACTCTAGACGCCAACATCATTTGATCATCTGTGATGATCCTGCAAACCACTGCTGGCCTGTGGTCTCAATTGCAGGAAAACGATGCGCTGATGTTGGTTCCCCTGCGATAGTCTGTTTTCTCATTTTTCGTTTCTTAGGTCACTTGTTTAGACTTTAGGATTTAGTTTTTGGTTTGTTTTCTTTCGTGTAACTTAAGGGTATAGAGACCATGTAGTATGCGCTTTACAAGTCCCAAA